GAATTCTTACATATCAACAGTGTTTAATGATATAGATCAGTGGTTCTCAGACGTTTTTCATCAAGTACCACCTCAGAAAAAAATTGTCTCACCAAGTACCACCAAAATGAGCAGCATTGAAATACAGTAGCGCAGTAGGCCCAGTAAAGCAGCTTAACCCTGCACAGTTAAAAACGTGGCAGATTACATCAGAAATATAGGCTATATGTCATTTATGACATATTATATACATCATTTTTGATAAGTTTTGAAATGTGTGTAGCATGTACATGACATATTTCATTCCTCCGCGTACCACTTGAAGAAAGCCTGCGTACCTCTAGTGGTACACATACCACAGTTAGAGAACCACTGATATAGATAATAGGTCTCCTTGAATGAGTGCAACAGACTGACCTGAAACTGCTCGAGTTCACTGGTGACCAGGCCTTGGGCTTTAGCCAGAGGTGTGTGGCAGCGCTCGATACACTGATGCACCTGATTCATGGAGTTCCCAGGATGCTCACAGCACTCTGCACTGCAGCGGAACATGCGGCCCTGAAAGATTTAACAGATGTTTACTTGATTAAAAAAAATGATACCGACTTTGATCAGAACAGTAAAAAAAAAAAACAGTGCCATCATTATATAAAGCTGTTTTGAGTTCTTGCTATTTATATTTCTTATGTTGCAAGAAGCCAATAAATTAGCAACTGTGGGAAATTCAATTTTTCACAATTGTGAAAAAGTTTAAATTGCGGTTTGGAACGACTTCATTTTTTTTTTTTTATTTGTTAGCCATCTTTTATAATCAATTAATATTTTATCATTTATATACATAAATCATATATTTCATATCTATATCATATATTAGACATTACATTTTTGAATGAAGGCTGTAAGTGTGTCAAATGACATTTAATTCTATATAATTTGTAGTGAGACAAAGCTGAATTTTCAGCATCAGTACCGCAGTCTAGTTACACATGCTCCATCAGAAATCCTTCTAGTAGGCTAAAAAAATATGCTTAAGAAACTTGTCATCAATGAACATATAAACAAAATGGAGAAAATGGCGCTCGTTGCTTTCAGGACTCAGGAAAAAAATGTTTATTTGAAACAATATATTGTAAAAATTTGTGTGACACATCTGAATTAATAGGGTGACACAGTGGCTCAGTAGTTAGCACTGTTGCCTCACAGCAAGAAGGTCGCTGGTTCAAGCACCAGCTGGGCCAGTTAGCATTTCTGTATGGAGTTTGCATGTTCTCCACGTGTTCATGTGGGTTTCCTCCATGTGTCCCCTATAAGTCCGAAGACATGTGGTATATGTGAATTGAATTAACTAAATTGTCCGTATTGTGTGTGTGTGTGTGTGTGAGTGTGAATGGATGTTTCCCAGTACTGGGTTGCAGATGGAAGAGCATCCGCTGTGTGAAACATAAGCTGGATAAATTGGCGGTTCATTCCTCAGTGGTGACTCCTGATTAATAAAGAGACTAAACCGGTGGAAAATGTATGAATGAATGAATGAACATCTAAGTTATTTAATGCATATTTGCAAATAAAAATTATAATTTAATATTAAAATAGTTTCATAATATTTTAAAAACTACTGTCCAAACAAACTCACTTCATCTCTCTCTCTCTCTAACACACACACATACACACACAAAACAAAACAAAATAACCTTGAAAAATATTCCTATTCATTAGGACATGTGTAACTCATATGGAGAAACAGGATTCACAGATATCTCTCTGGGATATTCAGCATCTTGCCTTTCTCACAGCTTTTAAGTTTAAAGAAATAAGGAAAATGTGGTTTACCTGCATCTTTCGGATGTGCTCTTTCTCCAGGTTCTGTACCATCTCCTCCACTGCATTCTGCACTCGAGCCTGCTGAGCCTCTGCCATTATAGTTATATTCTACAGTTTCCTCTTCGAGCAGCAACTCTATAAAGCCCTCGATCAAAATCAACACGTCGAGCTAAGCAAACTTGAAATCATTACCAAACTGTTCAAATGTGCCTTTCTGAAATGAAAGCAAATAGCAAAAAATTCTGTAATACTTCAGTAAGGTCACCTCCTACTACACCTAAAGCATGCTGCAACTATAATCACGCCACTTCCTGCAAATTTGCGACCTGCTTCCGGTTTTGTACTTCTTCGTCCATAGGGCGAATCTGCGTCTGCTGGACTTCATGCACTTGTTTTACGCACTTTATTCCCTTTCCACATGCCTTTAACTTTCCGAGCTTGAGCTTTAAAGAGGTGAGATTTATTGTGTTTTGACAGCTTTGTTAACGTAGACGTGACGTGCATAAAGATGGCATGATACTTTAGTTAACGTTACTTCTTTAACATTTGTTTTTGGTGAGACTTTGCTCTGCATGGCTAACGTTGCGTCATTTATTATCAGTGCTATTTTTTTAAATAAAAAATTTTATATTAACCATGTATTGTTGTTGATATGACTTGAAGAAAGCAGATTTTAAAAATGCAATTTCATCTTAATTAAACTTGACGCGCAGATTGAAAAATTAAGTTGAATTTTTAGAGGTTTGCTGATGAGCCGTAAAGCAGAAGTAATACAAAGTTGCTTGGGTTGCAGATTTAATAATAAGGCGTAAGGTAACACATAACGAAGTTGATTTTTAATAAATGGCATTTTATTAAATATAAGCTACAAAATGTTATTATCTTAAATTCACTCAAAGATTGTGTTGTAGGTCTTAGATTAACTTAAACGGGTCTTCATTTTAAAAGTTGTGCAAGAAACTTACCTTAATGTACCTAAACCAGAGAAACCCACATTTCTGTCAAACTTTACTTGTTATTAACCCCAACCAACGTTACTGTAAAAAAAAAAAAAAAAAAAACTAGTACCAATTTCATAGATAAAGTGAAAAAAGCACATTAAGCATTTTCTCCCCCATTGAAGTTAATTATAAGGAAAAAGCTTAACGTGGCTTAATGTACCTTAACAACAAACAGGGGAAATCAAATCAAATTTCTAAAAATTTTTACTTGTGATTAACACTAACTTTGATTACATGAACAGTTTTTTTAACATTTGGTTTTCCAAGGTTATTGTAAAGTTATGTTAAGCCTTTCCTTATTATGGACTTTAATGGGGAGAAAATGCTTAACGAGATATTGTTCTCTTTATCTATATCAGTGGTTCTCAAACTGTGGTACGTGTACCACTAGTGGTACGCGGGCTTCCTTCTAGTGGTACGCGGAGGAATGAAATATGTCATGTACATGCTACACACATTTCAAAATTTATCAAAAATGATGTATATAATATGCCATATATGACATATAGCCTATATTTCTGTGGTAATCTGCCACGTTTTTTAACTTTGCAGAGTTGTAGCTGCTTTACTGAGCCTACTACGCTATTGTAATTCAATACTGCTCATTTTGGTGGTACTTGGAGAGACTATTTTTTATGAGGTGATACTTGATGAAAAAAAGATTGAGAACCACTGATCTATGGAATTAGGGCTCGTTCTTTTGACAATATGTAGTGTTAATCACAAGTAAAGTTTGACTGAAATTTGGCTTTCCCTGGTCGGTGTTATGGTGCGTTAAGCCATGTTAAGCTGTTTCCTTATAATGGACTTAAAACGCAAAATGTAAAAATGTTCACTAACTAAAATTCAAGATCATTATTTTGACATCAGAAAGTGTTTGTCATGAGTAAAATTTGATAGGAATTTGATTTTTCCCGCTTGTTGTTAAGGTACATTAAGCCACGTTAAGCTTTTTCCTTATAATAAACTTTAATGGGGAGAAAACGCTTAATGTGCTGTTTTTCCTATTATCTATAGAATTAAGCCCGTTCTTTTTACAGTAGTTGGGGTTAAATACAAGTGACAGAAATTTGGGTTTCTCTGGTTTATTAGTGGGTACATTGATCCATGTTAAGCTTTTTCACGTTAAGCATTTTAGAATGTTCCAAATGTTACCCAGTCGGGCCGACAGCCATCCAATCACCAACAATATATCTCAATACTTTATTTTTGAATATATATTTACATTTTTTTATTGCAGATTTTTTTTTTCACAACAGCTTGTAGAATTTTTTTCTGCAAATTCTCTTAAATAAGTTCTCTAATCAGGAAAAGACAAATCTAAAAACAATTACAGAATTCCTCATGATAATAACAGCCATATATCTCTTTACGCAATCTTCCATTTACACAAAAACTCTTTAAAACAGTTGTAAAACAGGTAAAACAGCAGGATGAGGGAATGACGGGGGCGAGTTGTCTGAAAATGGCTCCAAAAACAAATATATATTTTTAACTATTTGTGTATTTTTCTTCACAATAAATATACTTTTAACAATGTTAAACTTGTCATACAAAGGCCATTGTGTTGAAAAAAAGTGTATACAATTAGAGTTTTCTTGTTTTGACAAAAATAAAATATGTGGTGAAGAAATAACTAGATTAGATTTTTTTCAATTCCATTGGTCGTTACAAAAAAAAAACATAATTAGTGTTTGGCCCTGTAGAAGTCTAAAATTTCATTTATAATGGTCTTAAAAAATCTTAAACTTGACATGATGAAACCTGCAGAAACCACATATATACAGTTGAAGTCAGAATTATTAGCCCCCCTTTTGATTTTGATTTCTAAATATTTCCAAAATAATGTTTAACATAGCAAGGAAATTTTCACAGTATGTCTGATAATAGTATTACTTTAAGAGAAAGTCTTATTTGTTTTATGTCGGCTAGAATAAAAGCAGTTTTTATTTTTTTTAAACATTTTAAGGTCAAATTTTTTAGCCCCTTTAAGCTAATTTTTTTTCCAATAGTCTACGGAACAAACTATCGTTATACAATAATTTGCCTAATTACCCGGACCTGCCTAGTTAACCTAATTAACCTAGTTAAGCCTTTAAATGTCACTTTAAACTGTATAGAAGAGTTTTGAAAAATATCTAGTAAAATATTATGTGCTGGGCGAAGCAGTGGCGCAGTAGGTAGTGCTATTGCCTCACAGCAAGAAGGTCGCTGGTTCGATCCTCGGCTCAGTTGGCGTGTCTGTGTGGAGTTTGCATGTTCTCCCTGCATTCGCGTGGGTTTCCTCCGGGTGCTCCGGTTTCCCCCACAGTAAAAACGTGCTGGATAAGTTGGCGGTTCATTCTGCTGTAGCGACCCCAGATTAATAAAGGGACTAACCCGACAAGAAAATGAATGAATATTATGTGCTGTCATCATGGCAAAGATAAAATAAATCAGTTATTAGAGATGAGTTATTAAAACTATTGTGTTAAGAAATGCGTTGAAAAAAATCGTCCATCAAACAGAAATTTGGGGGGGGCAAAAAAATAAACGGGGCTAATAGTTCAAGGGGGCTATTAATTCTGACCTCAAGTGTGTGTGTGTGTGTGTGTGTGTGTGTGTGTGTGTGTGTGTACGTGTTTTTGAACATATCAGGACACAAATCTGTATAATGACATGGGTATGACACAGGTATTACAAAAAGGAGGTGAAATATAAGGACATTGGTGACGTCCTCATTTCTCAAAATGCTTATAAATCCTACAGAATGAGTTTAATCAGAGAGTAAAGCTGCACACAGTCTCCTGTGAAGGTTGGGTATAGGGAAGGTGTAGTATAAGGGCAATATAATATACTATTTGGACAGTATAAAATGAATGGAAACCTATGTTATGTCAACAAACAAACGTGTGTGTGTGTGTGTGTGTGTGTGTGTGTGTGTGTGTGTGTGTGTGTGTGTGTGTGTGTGTGTGTGTGTGTGTGTGTGTGTGTTATAAAGTTTTCGAACTGTCATACATCATACATATTATTAAAAATACATATATTTGACCAACTGTTCAAAAATCAAAGTTGTTTTTTATTTCAGGTTGACACGCACACATAAAAATCAGTAAGGTTTTGTTTTGGTACAGTACCATCCTGGCTTTGTGTGTTTGTTTGTATTGCAAGTGTGAAACCCTTTTATTAATTTTCATTAGATTCTGATCGAATGTGTGTGTGTGTGTATAAAGTCAAGCTCGTAATTATTCATACCCCCCGCCCCTATATATAGAAACAAAACAAATCAAATGCAATTGTAGTCTTATTAAAATTTTATCTAATTTAAAATTCTAAATAATAACTGCAATTATGTTAAATACTATACATTTTTTTTCAATAGCAGTTGAACCTTCAAGAATTAAACACATGATGATTTAGTATTATGTGTTCACTTGTCTGAAAACAAGTAGCTTTTTCATAATTACAGCTCATAAAGTATGTTGTACAATTACTCTCTGGTCCTTTAAATTAAAAATGTTTACAACTTGTAATATGCATGTCATCAATCACATACATGTTTTTATAGTGATGTATTTCATTTTTTATTCAACTCGTTCTTTGTAATTTTGTTATGAAAACACAGGAAAACTGTTACAGTTTATTTTTATGGAAGAAATGCAATATATGTTTTGTAAATCTTTGTGATTGTGTGAATTTATCCAACACCTACTTTCATTTCATGTGTTTTCAGATGTTAATATTTGGGAAACACTAAATCATCAGAATGGCTCTGAGACACCTGTCAGTGAAGGCTTTCCTTTTTCTCGGCCTTTGTCAAATTGGACGAAGAGGACTTGCCTCTGCCCCTGAAGTCAGAGAAGCGCCCAGAAAAATCGGTATGATAAAGTTTAGCATTAATTCATTGTTTAAGATACAAGATAGTTTTTAGAACTAAGAAATGGAAAACTTATAGCTATACAAATTATTATCCCTCCTCTGAAATCTTAATTCTTTTAAAAATATTTTCCAAGTGATGTTTTATGTAGAGTAGGGCTGCGAGTAGGGCTGCGTGGTATTGGAAAATTGCAATATTTTATACGATATACAGTGCTCAGCATAATTGAGTTCACCCCATTTTGAAGATGAATATCTGTATCCATTTCTCAGTGAATATAAGCAATGTATTTTGGGGCATTCGAACAAAACAGATTTATTAAATGGATATATTTATTAAAATGATATTTTAGCCTCAGAACATCTTTAGAAATATAAAGATAATACTTTTAAATTCAAGCAAAATATTGGAAAAAAACTGCAACTACAAAACTGTAAACATTTTTTGTATCTCTTGAAATTTTTGTATTTAATGTTTTTCTCATACATATAAACTTTAGGGTACTAATTATGGACCGTTATCATAAGTTATTTTGTTAGATTAGTTCCAGATTTGGTTTTAGTACTGATTAATCTAAAGTTTATGCATGAAATAATAATCTTGTAAATAATGTATATAATAATAAATAAATAATAATAAAATAAATAATAATATTGTAAAGCTTCCTATAGAAAATATAAATTTAAGTGAGAGATTTGTGAGGGGTCTACTCATAGATGAATAACTGAATACAACTTCACCAAATAACTGGAATATCTCTATTTGGAATGAATTAATAATTTTACATTATTATCTTGCATAAAATACATTTAAAAAACTATCTTAGAGGATAGATTAATACAATAGGGAAAAAAACTATAGAGAATGAAAAAAAAATGGACTAAACAGTGTTTTATGGTACTCGGGTACAATAATTAAATAATCAAATGTAAAATAATATTGCATTGTCTTTATTAAATATAAATAATTCGATTTTAATCATTAATAAAGTTACGAGTGCTACAATTTCTTATGCCTGAGTGCTTTTAAAATCCTCATGCCTCAAAAACACATAAATAATAAACTGTATGCCAGACTCCACATTGCATATGCTGTGATGTAACTAATTTGAATGATCACATTGATATTGTGCAGCCCTAATGGAGAGAAAAACAATAGTTTTAATTTTAACAATAGTTTAAATAACTAATTTATTTGGTCTTTGTCATGATGACAGTAAATAATTTTAACAACTCAACAACAGGGTTTTTTTAGGCCAATAAAAATAATTATTAAGGGGGCTATTAATATTAACCATATTATTATTTTTTTTTCGACCAAACAAAAAAAGAAAAAGAAAAATATAATAGAAAATACTGTGAGTTATGTCCTTTCTTGTTTAATTGTTGATAATTTGTAGCCTGTGAAATTGATCAGATATGATACAGTAGGTTCTATAGGGTAATGGGTGTGTTTGCCAGGATCTGCTCTGTTAAATATCGGCTTCCTCTTCAGCAATAATTGGAGGTGGTATTGGAGGCACAGCAACAGCATTTTTCTTGAGGCAGGAGTTTGGACCTGCTGTGAAGATCGAAGTGTTCGAGGCAGGGACTGTCGGAGGTCGTCTGGCCACTGAGAACATTGGAGGACACGAATATGAGACTGGAGGATCCATCATTCACCCGCTCAACCTGCATATGAAACACTTTCTGGACAAACTCGGTCAGTGTCTACTTCTCTCTTTAAAGCAGTGTTTCCCAACCCTGTTTCATGAAGACCCATCAACAGTACACACTTTCAACCTCTTTCTAATTAAACACAGCTGAATCAACTCAGGCAACGGCAGTAGGTAGTGCTGTCGCCTCACAGCAAGAAGGTTGCTGGTTCAAACCTCGGCTCAGATGGCGTTTCTGTGAGGAGTTTGCATGTTCTCCCTGCGTTCGCGTGGGTTTCCTTCGGGTGCTCCGGTTTCCCCCACAGTCCAAAGACATGCGGACAGGTGAATTGGGAAGGCTAAATTGTCCATAGTGTGTGTTTGTGTGTGTGTGTGTGTGTGTGTGTGTGTGTGTTTGTGTGTTTGTGTGTTTGTGTGTGTGTGTGTGATGGATTATGCCTAGTTCAGACTGCGTGATTTTAGCCCCGATTTTGGCTCGCCGACAGGTTTTGAGAAATCGCCGACAAATGCCTGAAATCACAGGCAAATCGCTGCTCGTGCACGTGAGTGACAATCACACAGTATGAACTATCAAAGACTCGATCTGAGAGAATCGCCGATGAGTCGCCGATGCCTGCGAGATATTTGACATGCTATCATGTTGTGTGAATTGAGTTTTGACTGAAAATAACATCAGCCATAGCCTACAGCCAATGAGAGAGCAGCTTTCACTTTTGTGTGCGTGTGTGTATACCTGCTGCAGGCCAGCGGGAGGCTGGGAGAGAAGTTAAAAGCGCTCTTTTTCGGTTTATTTGGACCCACGAAATGGAGGAAAAACTAGTGGAGGTTTGACAGGACTCAGGAGCAACCGTGTCTGTTTGACGTTTCAGACAGAAAGAAAATAGTTTATTATCAACGTTGAGGAGGAATGGATAATTCCCTTTAAACGCAGGTGAGCAAACATGTACATGTTCTACCCCATTAAAGGCTTCTTTCTCATTATGTAGTTAATAACAAGAGATATACTACATGTTTTTGGCTGTGAGACGTAGTTTGGACGAAGTTGTCGGCGATTCTTCCTATAGTAAACTCATGCAATGTGAATGTCCCTGTCGCCGATCCATCTTGCAGTGTAAACAAAGCAGCGACGAAACGCTAGCCCAGATAGTCATGCAGTGTGAAAACATCTGTGACATGACTACTTTGAAAATCATGCAGTCTGAACTCGGCATTACGGCTGGAAGGGCATCCGCTGCGTAAAAACCTGCTGGATAAGTTGGTGGTTCATTCCGCTGTGGCGACCCCGGATAAATAAAGGGACTAAGCCAACAAGAAATGAATGAATGAATGAATGAATGAATCAACTCGTCAGAACATTAAAAGAGATTCTAAAACCTCTAAATGAATGGGTCAGATATGGGACACATCCAAAATATGTACTGTTGGCCTTCAGGAACAGGGTTGGGAAACACTATTTTCAATGAATAGTTCACACAAAAAGTTGTAGTTTGTTGTCAGTTTACGAAACTTCCTTTCATCCAAAACGTGTAGGACTTTTTTTCTTCGAAACAATAATATCTCGTATGAGCTTTTGGGGATGTTTTCATCCACTCTGGGGTGATTTTTAAGTTTTAATTTGGCCACAACCCTCTCTGTGTTTTAGCAAATGGAATGATTTTTGGTGACAAATCTTATTTTGACACATATATTTGGGGTAAACGGTTTGAAATTGTTTAAGAATTCAACAATACACTCAAAACAAAGTGACTACCTTTTCGTAATGTTAGTGGCTGTATTTGCTCTATTGACTTCCATTATAACAACATATTTTGATTGACAATCCATGACACCATATTGTTATGTATTCATTATTGTTGTGTTTTTCCGTCTTGGTAGAGGTAAAATGTGTATTTTCTTTTTTGAAAAGGTTTATCGTGGTGGCACTTCAGATGATTTTGGAAGGGCACTTTATATCCACGAGCATGTGCACTGCACAGGTTGAGCCCAATGTGTGCACGTGCCTGGGTTTAGGTATTGGGTAGGATTCGGGATGTAGAATACGAGCATACTTTATAAGTACTAACAAACAACTTAATAATAAGCAGGTAATAATGAGTCAGCTGTTAATCATTAGAATTTGTACTTAAACTAAAGTGATATGTTTTATATTTGTTTTTACTCTGGAAGACCAAAATATTGACTCAGCAGGATGTTTTCAGCTAAGCATTTTTTATGTTCTACTGATGACAAAATAGTATTCTACATCTTGGATGGCCTGAGGCTGCATTTACTCTAGTGTGTTTTTGTTTTCAAGTGGCATGCATTATAGAATGGAAGCACTCCTTTTTTTAGACTGGCATTTTTACTGCATTTCAGAAAAACATGCAGATCTCTTTCCACCCTATACGACTTAAAACCAAGCGGCAACCTCCAGCTCTCCCTCAGGAGAATAAATACGGAAGTAACTAAAACTGCAATTCATCCGAAATTCCGCTAGTCCTGGCCGCTCCTGGCTCCAAAATAGAGCAAATTTCAATTGAGCCCACTGTCAGAATGGCCAACTTTACAGCAGAAAAAAAGGTGTTTACAGCCTGGTACAAAAAAAGATTTTGGTTGATACAGCTAATATTACCCTTCATGACAACTGTGAGGGGGGTGAATTTTTTTATAACTCGTCCGTTTCCTTTATATTAAGTTATATTAATTTTGCATAATTAAGGGCGTGGCCACTTGATTGACAGCTAGGTCTCGTTGGTCGCCGTCACGTCACCTCAGCTGAATCCTGCAGATTAGCCACTGAACTCGGCATATTTATCGTATTTCTGTGTTGTTTTATGTGGCTTTACACAGTCAACTGCCTTTTGGACTTGTTTCCTACAATTATTAGATGGCATGGCATGCTGAGTGCACTTAATTGTGCTCACAAACCATTCACGTGGCCTCCGTTTCCCATGTGAGTAAAGTTACATACTTATATACCATCTCTATACATGTATTTGTTTTATTTAAGATCATTTATCGTTTATATTTATATTTAGAGCTGTAATGCACTCCAGAATCTGACGAATTGATTAGCTGTAGGCTCTAGAACAGTCATCTGAAGCGTTGTCATACAGTGTTAAGCTGGATTTCATCAATAGTCCTACATTAACTAACACAGACTATATCTAAAGTGTTTGGAAGTAATTTGCATTTTCCTCATGTTGAAAAACATCATAAGAACAGTGTTTAGTGGCTCAATGTATTACAGCAGTGTTTTTAAAAGTCTAAACACTTTATTGATTTAGTGTACAACCAAGGACAAGTGGTCAGAATACAAACGAGTCACAGGTGATAAAGTATTGAGCGTTCTCCCAAAGTAAAGTGTGTCTGAACCAGGTCCAAGCAAAATGCCAGCAGGTGTCTGTAGCTCTGCTCACTCTCCGCCTCTTTGCCCTTGTTTGGCATCCCGCCGTGGGTGTAATGACGCTTGTGGCTTCTTTTGCGCTCTTTAGAAAACTATGGGTGATGTCACGGATACTAAGTCCTTATATTTTACAGTCTATGCTTAAAACGCATGATACATGACCATACACACTTACGGTTTATGCATATTTTGAATAAAATAATTCTTCCCATCTACCTGTTGTGTAATGGTCATACAAGAGAGGTTTGACGAATCAGAGAACGTTACGCAATAATCCAGAAGGCCAGTCAGAGGGTGATTGTGGATAGCTATGCCAGTTTTGGTGACTTGAGGATTGCTGAAGTAGTGTTGATGTAGGGCTGGGCGATTTTACCTAAAATCTTAATCTCAATTAATTAAGCATTTTGACTCTATTATGATTAATGAACGATTATTTATTTATTTATTTCTCATAGTTCATAGTGCAGGTTTTGTGCTGTAAATATGCTTACATATGCTCACATAAATGAGAGATTTTTGAATGAAGGGTGCATTACTTGATTTTAAAGTAAATGAAAGAAACACTATCTAGTATCTATAATTATTTATTAAACATTGTTGGAGCCATTTGTGGATTGCAATTTTCTTTCACACCACTAGATGGTGTATAATGTATTTATGCTCTCCTCATGATGAGCTGAGAGGCAAAGAAGAAGGTCAAACAAACTTTTTGACCATCATGGCTGCGTCCGAAACCGCATACTTCCATACTATATAGTACGCTTAAATCAGTATGCGAGCCGAGTAGTATGTCCAAATTCATAGAATTCGAAAATCAGTATGCGAGAAGTACCCGGATTACTTACTACTTCCGGCGAGATTCTAGAGTGCGCATCCCATGCATGCTGCGCTATCCCATGATGCCCCGCGAGCAAATTCATGAATGGGAGTAAAGCAATGCAATTGACGCAGGTAGGTCACGTGACCATGACAAAATGGCGGATGTAGTACGTCCGAATTTCATTCATACTTTTCACGTTCATACTGTATAGAAGGTACTTTTATAACGGCCGAGTAGTAAGTTTACATTCAAATGCAGTACCTACTGAGTAGTAGGCGGTTTCGGACGCAGCCCATGGCTGTGAGAACGGGTTTATATTTGTTTTGATGTTTACTTTTTCATTTTAAAAAAATGCACAATAAATGGATTGAAATATCTAACTTTATTTGCAAAGGTATGGCCATTTCACTTTATTATTGACCTGTTCAAGCAACAAACGCATCAGAATCAATGACCAAAATATACGCATCTACAAACATCAACGCTGAACAACGGAAATTAAAATACACATTGCCTAAAACGAGGAGTCCCTTTTTATCTTATAAAAAAGCGAAAATTAATAACTTGCACTTTTGGAAACCAAGGCTGCGTCCGAAACCGCCTACTACTCAGTAGGTACTGCATTTGAATTTAAACGTACTACTCGGCCATTAGAAAAGTACGTTCTATACAGTATGAATGTGAAAAGTATGAATGGAATTCGGACGTACTACATCCGCCATTTTGTCATGGTCACGTGACCTACCTGCGTCAGTTGCGTCGCCTCACTTCCATTCATGAATTCTCTCACGGGGCATTATGGGAGCGCAGCGTGCATGGGATGCGCACTTCAGAATCTTGCCAGAAGTAGTAAGTCATCCGGGTACGTCTCGCCTACTGATTTTCGAATTCTATGAATTCGGACATACTACTCGGCTCGCATACTGATTTTAGCGTACTATATAGTATGGAAGTATGCGTTTCGGACGCAGCCCATATTAGGTCGATTTTAAATTCAGAATGTTGATTTCAATTACTTTTCAATTAATCGCCCACCCCTATGTTGATGTCAGGCGTAACAGTAATAAAACTTGTACATTTTAAAATGAAAACACTTGAATGTAAATTGTGCCTGAGGCCGAGTAAATTAACAGCAAAATTTAATTTTTGTGTGAACTATACTTTTATTGTCCTATCCTCTCCAAAATGCACAATTGGATGGGTTAAATTAAATTTTGCATGTTATATTGTCTGGTCAGGTCTGTCTGTTCGTGCGGATGTTTCTTCTAAAATGGCGATATTTGACGGGAAGGAACTGACCTTTGAAGAGAGCGACTGGTACTTAGTGAATGTCATACGCATGCTGTGGAGATACGGACTCAACTTCATTCGAATGCATATGTGGGTGGAGGGCATTCTGGACAAGTTCATGAGGTTTGTCTGCTGTGGTGGCATCTTAAAGGGGCAGTTCACCTATCATCATTTACTCACCCTTCACCTGAGTTTCATCTGTTGAACAGAAAAAGTTATTTTGAAAAATGTTAAAATAACAAAGGGTGTATTACAGTTTTGCAGCAACATCAAGATGAACAAATGACTAAACATTCATTTTTGTGTGAAATAAGCATTAAAGGTTGATTGCTTTCTGCATTTTCTGTAGGATATATCAGTACCAGCAGTTCAGCTACTCGTTTTCTAGCGTGGAGAAGATGTTGCATGCCATGGGTGGAGACTCGTTTCTCACTCTGGTCAATCAGACGCTGGAGGAGGCCATGCTGGCTGAGGGCTTCTCTCAGGTCTTCCTCAATGACATTGTTACCCCTGTCACACGAGTCAACTACGGACAGACTGTTCGAATCAATGGATTTGTAGGTATGCAAATTGATCGGAAATGCAGATATGAGCATATTTTGATGTATATTTAAGGATATATAAGATGTAAATAGTACTTTCTTGGATTGTTGCACCAAGAGTCATTTAGAGTGATTCTATGTACATTTTTCATAATTTTGAAGCTACACAATGGAAAAAGCTAAAAGCAAAAGCGTTTAGGAAGCACTAATTTGTGAATTATGTTATGTAATGTATGTTTATTATTCTTTTTGCAGGTGCTGTTTCTCTAGCAGGAGCCAGCTCAGGTTTGTGGGCTGTGGATGGAGGGAATAAGTTGGTTTGTTCTGGTCTTCTGTACCACAGCAAAGCTGAAGTTGTTCCAGCTCGTGTGACTGCCATCTCCATGAAGACCAGGCCATCCAAAACTGGTACAATTTTCTTTAAACATTATTGTAAATCTTTTAATGTATCATACACACTACTGTAGGGTCCAGCCAGTTGGTCCAATGACGGTATCCAATGGTGGATGAAGGTTCACTGCATGTTCGGTCTTTCCAGTGCACAATGTTGATCTATATTAAACTTAACTCATATCTGACTCCAATTTTAGTATGAGGTGGTTTAGAATATTAATATTTTTTATCCTCGTTTTATTTGACTCCAATTATAAAACATTGAGAAGGTTATTTTGTTTCCTTTCACATGATTTTAGATTATGATTGAATATTCTTTTGATTTGTTATTATACCTTATTCTCATTTACTCAGATTCCTATAGCATCTCGAGTCATGCAGCGGCCGGGTATACAATCTCTTAATACAAGCTTGTCAGTCTTGGTCATTAAACAGAGGCGATTAACCACTCTCCTAAAGTGGCAGAACCCTACTTACTCAATTTAGGAGATTTTTTATGTGGTCCCCATAGATCTGTTATCTACTTAATCAAGACAAAGTATTTTAATAATAATCGCACAGGATTATAAGTTTGTAGATGAAGGCCTAAATATCCACATTTAAAGTAGTTTCAACAATATTTTGTTGTTCTAAATAGTTGGCCTTTTACAGTCTAAGTATACTGGAATTAATGCCAATTTGTTAGTCGGATCTCTAACAACATTGTATAGCGTGCCACGCTGCTCCATCTAACATGTTTTAGTCCGTTACTAACCTGTACAGTGGCTTGTAGTGCTATGGACAACAACATTTACCAGTGATAATAACACGAGGTTTGAATAATTCAAAACATAATTTATTAGTCAGGTAAATGTATTATGCCAAATTCAATCAGTTAATTCATAAACGATCAATACAAAACATCAAATTATCAAAGACAAATCCAAGATGAAAAGATGCATACCTGACTTCAAAATATACATAACATGGAGTTAGCTCCATGTTACGGGCTGATCTGGGTAAGCAGTATCGCGCTAAGCCTTTCTCAAACCTTACCTTAAATAATCCAAGAATTCCCTCAAGGAAGGGGGTGTGTGCATAACAAAAGGCATTTGCATTTAGTCCTGCCTGTGGAAAAGTCACACCCTTCACAGTGGTTCAAAAGATGCCTGAAGTTATATATTTATTGTTTTGATTATGTCTATTTCTGAGAGAATGAGACCATTGTACCAATCGCACTGAGACATTTCAATTGAAATCAAACATGATAGTTAAAGTCAGTTTGGTTAATCTAGAACATTCAAACATTGAAATGACCATATGTGTGAGTTGGGGTGGTTGAAGCCGAGTTTCAGCAGACTCAGATGCAAATGCAGCAGGAACTGGTTTTTCCCGCATTCTCACCTGCTGGGTTGTGGTCAACAGTCTCTGTTTTCAGCTCATGTTTTGAATTGTCAAAAATATTTATAAAATTTCAATTCTTACACTACCATTCAAACATTTGTACATTAAAAAGGAGATTTTATTTAACAAGGATTAATAAAAATCATTAAAAAGTGACAGTGACCGTATTTACAATATTACAAAAGGTTGCTTTACCTTGTAAATCATGTAAAATATAATAAATATATAACATATTAAACATCAAATTATCATTACATAAAATAAAATAATAAAATGCTTGTGCCAAGCCTGTTCATATAAAAGACATATGAAGGAGATAACTACATTTCAATACTGCAAACTGTGTGATGTTTTTAATATTCAGGCTATGTATAGTGGTAATGTCAGATGGCTCTGGTAGATTAGACAACAGGAGTAGTAATGTTTCTTTGACAACACTCATCTTAATAAAGTTTAATGGAAATTTAGCTAAACATTTTAAAGGTGCAGTAGTTGATCTGCTAAAATGCTAACCAGTTAGCATATTATCTTTGGACGGCAGGGGAGGGACTGTGTTTCAAAGCCACACCTCCTGAAACCGCGAACACACGCACCGTGACATGACAGCAGACAACCCGCTAGCTCATGTCATTTGCCAGTTAGAAATTTAGTTAGTGGTTGGGCAGCGGCGTGCAGGAATTACACTCAATACTAAGCCATACTTATATGCTATTTCAGAGTGAATATTCAGAGTAACATGGTGAACAGTATAGGGAGGCTGTCATTGTTCAAAAATGAACCAATGTGATTATAAAACCAACTTCACTTCAGTAAAGCAGGATAGGTGGAATAGTGCTATTTACTGATGTATAAAATAAAAATCTACATTATATATGCTGTAAAAGGCCCTTATGAAACTGAAAATAGTCCCATCAATCTTTCTCCTGAAGATTTCAGTGGCTGAACAACACTTCTGTGCATGTAGTCCATTCATAACAACACAATCTACATCAGCTCTGGGGGATTAAAATAGTATTAAAACTGAACATTGCCTGTTTTAAAGAAAGACTTCAACCATGGTGTCATCCTTCCTTCAGCGTGCAAAAGTAACTCCAATACTGATTCAGGATTTTAAAAAGTTTCAGTTCAGCATTTGATTTTACCGCTACTGATTGTCTTATGTGCATACGATGGCGGATAATGTCAACTAAGCGTGAACAGAGATGTGCCGTTGTACAAATCTCCATTTGCTGACACTTTGGGCTGCTTATCAGAATTATAGAAAATGTCGGCCTGACAATATTCAATTGAATGATTTTTAAAAAAAAAATTTTATGCCTTACCCAGAATATAAAAATACATATAAACACATAGATAATTTACTTTAATCAATACTAGTTGAATGTGAAGATACTTTCGACCACCACAACAAAACATGTGTCTGAAGACAATCAGCTACTGCACCTTTAAACTAGCACTGCATGATAAATTGAAGTCAAATCGAGATCATAATTTAGCAAAAAGCTGCTTGTGTCATGCACATCTTGTCAATGAAGCACAGCTCTGTGATCAGAAGTAAATCTCCTCTGAAGAGCAGAGGGCGCTCTCACAAAAAATAGAGGATTTAACTCATTTTATTTATTCATCATGACTAATAATCACACAACTACAGATCATCTCACTGAATGATTTATTTTAGACACTCAGCTGAAGCTATGAAGTAAAAACGTTATTAAATGTGGTATATTCATGTTCTTTCAGATGTAGCAGCAACACAGAGCTGCAGATCAAAGAGAAGTGATGTAAAACAGCTGTCAAATCGCAGAACTATCATCGTTGATTTCAAATCATGTCAATTAAATTTTCTGTGATTTTGGCTTTGCAAGTCAGCGAACTGTGGCTCTGTGTAGTAAACGCTGCTCCAACTGAAAGTAGGCGCTAAAGATTTACTACTAGGGATATAATGGTATTATAAATACCGTCATACCGCAATATTAATTTTTTTCGATATTACCGTAGTCGCATGACTCAATAAAACTATAGGTCTTCTGCGAAAATTTGCTCAGGCGAATGAAGCGAACGGGAGGTAGCGGAAACTACAATTCCCATTAGCCCAGGCTTGGCCATCATCCCTTGCGGTCTGTTGTCGCTACAGATACAGTAATGCGGAAATGGAGTGTGCTGCTAGAAGCGGGGATCAAAAAGAGCTGGAAATGATCGAACTTGAAGCAGGTGTTGTCGCCGCACGCGTACTGAATAGCGGTGTTGTCGCGCGCGTTCTGATCAGCTGAGTTGTCGCGCGCGTACTGAATATCGGTGTTGTCACGCGCGTACTGTAAAGCGGGTAGGGGGGGTTGAGCGCGCATACTCAAGAGCGGTGTTGTCGCGCGACTACTGAAGAGCGGGACGGAGGGTGTGTCGCGTCGCGGGGGCACTTTTGATCATTTTGGAAGGGCACTTTCTATCCAAGACTAAAAAGGGCATGTGAACTGCACAGGTTGAGCCCTATGTGTGCACATGCCTGCAAGTTGGGGAATACGACTAATAAGAGTCATGGGGACTGCAGAAACACAGCACACTGTTCAGATTGATGCAGACATGAGACCTCTATCTCACTCTTGGCTTGTCTTCTCAAGTGGGGAAAAGACAATGCACAACGTTACCCACTGCTGTCAACCTGGGCCAAGTCATATCTCTCTGTCCCAGAAACCTCAGTCCCAAATGAGAGGGTTTTTTTCTGTTGCAAGGGACATTGTAAATACCCAGAGATACCAGCTTTTACCAGATTATATTTATATGATAATTTTCCTTAAAACCCATCTCTATCTAAGTGAGTGAGTGATTAAATGTTGAATGCGATGAGTTTTCAACAATACTAAATTGAAACTTAATTTTTTTTACATGGTTTAATAATTTTTTGTTATTAAAATTGAAGTTCCTGTTTCAAAGCTTACAGAGAGATGGCTAATTTGTATGTCATTGACACTTTTGGCACTTTTTTGGAGTATTTTCATAAGTTTTGTTTTTTCCTGTAAATAATTCAATAAATACCGTACCGTGACATTCATACCGAGGTATTACCGTACCGTGAAATTCTGATACCGTTACATCCCTATTTACTACTGATTACAGAACCAGCTTTACTGACAAAATGTGCAGCAAGTTTGTGCAGCCTAATATAAAACACACAGTGCCAAAGCCCTAAACTGCTGTGCATGTATCTACAGTATTCAAATTTTCCATTCACCAATTTTTTGCTGCACATTCAGGTCCTGTCACAAGTTTCTATGAAGTAAACTACATCGGAGAGTCTGGTGCTGCCCATTCCACCTACGACATAGTTGTAGTTGCCACACCTCTCCACCAGGGCCTGTCGGACATCAACTTCTCAGGCTTCTCTCCACCCATTCCGTCCCACTTTCCTGGTCGATACCACCAAACTGTTGCCACGTTGGTACATGGTCTGCTCAATGTGTCTTATCTGGGCACCACACTCAAGCCAGAAGACTTCTACATTTCAGACGTCCTCACACTAGACAAAAAAGCCTCAGAGATCCACAGCCTGAGCTCTCTGGACCCGGTGAAAATCCCCAAAGGTTACACTCGCAGTTCTGCCACACAAAGCAAAGTGTGGAAGATCTTCTCCTCCCAGCCGCTTTCCGAGAAACACCTACAGCAAATCTTTCTGTCCCAGGAATCTGTGTTTGAGAAGCGTTGGCTGGCATACCCTTCATACAGCCCACCGCAGCGTAGGACGCCTCCATTCATCCTTCACGATCGCCTCTATTACCTCAATGCAGTGGAATGGGCAGCCAGTGCCATGGAGATGAGCGCGATTTCGGCCCGTAATCTGGCCCTGCTGGCTCATCATCGCTGGTACGAGCAAACTGCCAAAATCGATCAAGAGGACCTGCACACCAGACTCAGAGGAGAACTTTGATGAAGGTACAAGTAGTGCTGTTAAAAATACCAACTGCTGTTTATCATTGATCAATTTCTAGCTGACATTTGAGTTCTCAAAGAGCTTGTTTACCCCAAAAATAAAACTAACTCATTATTAACTTTCCCTGTAGTGGTTTAAACCTTTATGAGTTACTTTCTCTTGTTGAACACACACACAAAAAAGATATTTTGACGAAAGCTAAAAACCATTAACCTTTGACTTTATAGTAGGAAAAACAAATACTGTGGGAAATAATTGTTACAGGTTTCAGATTTCTTCAAAATATCTTTGTTTGTGTTTAACAAGAAAGAAACTCAAAGCAGGGTTGAAACAAATGAAGTATGTGTAAATGATTTTATTAATTCCTTTAAACACTGCTGAATGGCCAGTGATAAAATGCTCCACGGAAAGGACTGTGATTGGCTACAATCATCAACACTTTATTCTCTTCACTGTGTACTAACTGAGTTACAAGATGCAACTTTCAAAGCTCAACTATCTGTGTATCCGTGTAAGCGCTCGGTGAAGTTTGTGAAGCAATGATCTTTGTAGCCAATCACAGTCATTTCTATTGAGTGCATGAAACCAATGGCCAATCAGCAGTGATTAAAGAGATAGTTCACCCAAAAACCAAAAAATCTGTTATCATTTTCTCGTCTTGTTTGTGGATCTTTCTTCTATAAAAATTCAAGCAGGTTTGAAACAAGTGAAGTATGTATAAATGATTTTTATTCATCTCTTTAAACACTGCCGCATGGCCATAGTGATCAAATTCTCCACGGAATGACTGTGATTGGCTACAATTATCAACGCTCAATTCACTGAGTACTAACAGTTACAAAATGCAACTTTCAAATGCTCCATTATCAGTATATCTGTGTAAGCGCTAGGTGTAGTTTGTGAAGCGATGATCATTGTAGCCAATCACAGTCAATTCCATTGAGTGCATGAAACCAATGGCCAATCAGCAATGATTTAAAGAGAGGAAACAACAATGAAAATCTATCATTGTTTACTCATCATCTGCTTGTTCCAAACTTAAATGTGGATCTTTCTTTTATAGAAGATCAAGCAGATTTGAAACAAGTGAAGTGTGAGTAAATGCGTTGTATTAGCCTCTTTAAACACTGCTGAATGGCCATAGTGATCAAATGCTACACTAAAATGACTGTGATTGGCTACAATGATCAACGTTTCATTCTCTTCACTGCAGTTACAAGATGCAACTGTCAAATGCTCCACTATCAGAGTATTCGTGTATGCACTCGAGGAAGTTTGTGAAACGATGATCATTGTAGCCAATCACAGTCATTTCAATTGAGTGCATGAAACCAATGGCCAATCAGCAGTGATTAAAGAGATAGTTCACCCAAAAACAAAAAAATCTGTTATCATTTACTCGTCTTGTTTGTGGATCTTTCTTCTATAAAAATTCAAGCAGGTTTGAAACAAGTGAAGTATGTATAAATTATTTTTATTCATCTCTTTAAACACTGCTGCATGGCCATAGTGATCAAATTCTTCACGGAATGACTGTGATTGGCTACAATTATCAACGCTTCATTTTCTTCACTGAGTACTAACAGCTACAAAATACAACTTTCAAATGCTCCATTTTAAGTATATCTGTGTAAGTGCTAGGTGTTGTTTGTGAAGCGATGATCATTGTAGCCAATCACAGTCAATTCCATTGAGTACATGAAACCAATGGCCAATCAGCAATGATTTAAAGAGATGGTTCACCCAACAATGAAAATCTATCATTGTTTACTCATCATCTGCTTGTTCCAAACTTAAATGTGGGTCTTTCTTTTATAGAAGATCAAGCAGATTTGAAACAAGTGAAGTGTGAGTAAATGATTTTTATTAACCTCTTTAAACACTGCTGAATGGCCATAGTGATTAAATGCTACACTAAAATGACTGTGATTGGCTACAATGATCAACGTTTCATTCTCTTCACTGCAGTTACAAGATGCAACTGTTAAATGCTCCACTATCAGAGTATTCGTGTATGCACTCGATGAAGTTTGTGAAACGATGATCATTGAAGCTAATCACAGTCATTTCAATTGAGTGCATGAAACCAATGGCCACTCAGCAGTGATTAAAGAGATAGTTCACCTAAATTGAAAAATCTGTCATCATTTACTCATCATCTGCTTGTTCCAAACTTGTTTATGGGTCTTTCTTCTATAGAAACTCAGGCAGGTTTGAAACAAGTATGTAAATGATTTTTATTCATCCCTTTAAACACTGCTGAATGGCCAGCCATAGTTATCAAATGTTCCACGGAAATGGCTGTTGTTACGTCCTTTTAGATGTTAATATTAAACTAGAAGTAGATGACATAACATACATTGGTTTAATGTGTGTGACAAGCGGATGGAGAAAGAAATAAACTGAAAACCAAATAATCACTGCAATTATTTGTTGCCCATACATCCAATGAAACCATTGAAAATATATTATACAGTGAAAGAAAAATATTTACAATGATTAAATTAGGAATTACCTAGGGGGAGAGGGAGTAGTTGAATGTGCTTAAATCAAAGAAATAAATATAACAAAACTCAGTAACTGTTTTCACCAAACTAAACTAAATATGAAAAGAAAAGCATGAAAAGAAACATCTTCAACGTACCAAACGTCTTAACTAAACTGCTCTAACTAAAAATAAAACATACAGAAAACAGCACATTCTCCTGAACCTAGTGAACTAATACAAAATGTCAATCTGAGTGTTGTATATGTATATCGCCCGACTTACTCACTCCTACACCTCTCCGAGGCATCACTCAAACATGTCAGTTAACTGGACAATTTCACAAGGATTATTAAATCGCAAACTTTAGACAAGAGCATTAAACAAGCAAAACACATTCTCTCAGACTAGCCCTCGCAAGAGAGACTGAGAGAGAGAGAGAGATCGCCATTGCAGTTCGGGCTCGGCTTTTAAACGCTACGCCAACCAGCGATTGGTGGCGCCAACCCAGCGTCAGCGGCCAACGTCATCAGCACGAAATGCGGATCCTCCAATGCCGTTCGTACCTGTAACACATGCATGAACGACACACCCACATACATACAAACGAACGCACACACTTATGCAAAATACGTTCTGCAAGCGAACGTTACAGCTGTGATTAACTACAATGATCAACGCTTCATTCTCTTCACTACGTACTGAGTTAAAGGATAGCTCCACTATCAGTGTATCTGTATAAGCGTTCAGTGAAGTTTGTGAAGCTAAAATCATTGTAGCCAATCACAGTCCTTTCCATTGAGCGCATGAAACCAATGGCCAATCATCAGTGTTTAAAGAGATAGTTCACCAAAAAATAAAAAAATCTGTCATCATTTTCTCATCATCTGCTCGTTCCAAACTTATTTCAGTGTCTTTTTTCTATTGAACATAATGACAGACATACTAAAGAAAGTAAGACATTAGCCCCTTTCACACAGTGATACCGGTAAATATCTGGAAAATTTCCAGAACGACTTTACCGGTATATTGAAAAAAGCGCTGTTCACACAGGCGAGGACGTTACGGAAATTTTCCGGAAAAGAGCATTCACACATCCATTCCAAAATACCGGTAAATTCTGACATCATTCACCACAAATGAGCTTTAAACGGCTGCGCTTGTATTTGTAAACATTTGACTAAATTACAAACTCTGTGGATGATCAATATTGTGAACAACTTTCGCAGGATCACTTTCACATGTCGAGATGTTCATAATATGTGCGTGTGCAGGCGCTCACAGGCTGTTTCACAGGCACACGCAAAGCTTGAAGGTAAACAAACAACGGCTTATCATAAGCATCTTATCGATGATTATTTACACAGTTGGCATTAAGAAGAACATATAAACGTGATCTGACTAACTTCAAGCAGCTAAATGTGTCAGGAAAAATATTCAAAGGCTTTTATTCTCACAAACTATGCGGACGTAAACGCGTCTGACTGTTCTGATTGGCTAAAGCAGACGTCTCACGTCAGCACGTTCTAGACGTGCACGCGCTTATTACGGCAATCTTCCTTCTGCATTCACACAGCGCAGCATTCCGGCAAATTGCCGGTATTGTTACCAATTCTCTTTCTGGAAAATAGCCAGAACGAATTTACCGGTATTTTCAAAAAGGACCTGTTCACACATACAACCTTTCCGGAAAATTGCCGGCAATTTTCCGGAAAGGTCTGTATGTGTGAAAGGGGCTATTGACTTCCATAGTATTTTCTGTTCACACTATGGCTACTATTTCTACTATTTCCAGCATTCTTCAGAAAATCTTTTTTTGCGTTCAAAAAAAAGAAAGAACCACTTGAGTGTCAATAAATAGTGAGGACAAGTAGTAAATGCTGGGATCATCACATTATTTTAATTCTCACTGTGAATTGGTTTTGAAGTTGGTATTTCTGACAGTACTAGACACAGCAACAACTTTGGATGTGGGAAACAATAAAAACAGATAACCGAAATGCTCACAAGGAAGAGTGCTTGTGCATTCGAATGTCATGTAAGTTGGCTTTTAAGTCATGAGATTAATGTAAACAGCTAACGATGAACACTCCTGCAATTAACTTAAATGTTTCTGAACTTTTAATGATTATTTTAGGTTCAAGCGTATTTGTAAGGAATTAGGTGCCAACCGAGTGGAGTTGTTTATAAAGAATACAGCATTATCTGCTGTTAAAAACTAAGCTTAGAATCATGATAAAGAATAGGGATGCATTTTTAAAATCGTTAAATAATTTTTCGCCAGCTGTTTTTCCTCCAAACCTTCTTTAATCGCATAATTCCAGCTAGTGACACAAACCCATTTTCATTTTATTTTGCTTTGTTTGAAAGCAGTGTTCAGAAGAGCTTCTGTGCTCTTGTTGGTTAATGTGACAAGTGTGGCAGAACTAGAAAAATGACCAAAGAGTTTAAATGTGAAAATACAGAGGACCAACTTGTTTTAAACATTCTCGTTTTTTTTTATTGGGCTGTTGTGAGCGAAGCAAGATATTATATTGGTCTTGGTCAAGATGAACCGGTCAATGAGTCACTTTGAAATAAGGCTGATATTGTGTAGTCTGAACCCAGCCTAAAATTAAATTCTTAAGACCATTT